CACACACACACACACTTCTCCGCCTCATTCTGTTTTCATTTACTCGTTCGTTATCTGACCAGCTTCAATCTTGTAGGCTACTCACTTCGTTTCTTGTAGCCCTCGAAAGGGTTTTGGAGGTTGATGCCTCGGTGAACGTGAGTTGAATGGCTTTCTTGTCCGTAGCAGCAGAAAGCATTTTCGAATGTTTGAATTAATCAAAGTGGGTCGCCACCGTCGATTTTCTCTTATGCTCCAACACACAGTTGCACGGGGTGCAGAATAGTTTCCCCTCACTTTTTGCCCGGTCTTTAGTAGAAATGTTCGTCGGTAAATGAGATGGATTAGATTTTTTCATCTTGGTGTTTTCTCTATCGTGTGAGCTCCACACGTTCACTCTATACAGTGTTGTTTACATTCTGTGATGCGCGAGCTGATGACGTCACGTCAAGACGAGTTCACTTTTCTTTTTTTTTTTACTTTGTGTGGAAAAATGCGGGGATTATGCGGCCTTTTGATAAATATGCGGCCTTTTAAAAATCTGCGCCATTTTGCTGATTATGCGGTAAAATCTGCGATCGCAGAATCGCGTTTTTCTGGAGGGTCTACTTATATAATGGGACCAAATGGCACTTGGATTGCATTGTTTAAACCACTAACAAATCATTTGAAAAACTTAAAAACTATTAAATATATAATTTCATTATATTGGAGATGCATTTCTTTGACTTTAGGGTGAACTGTCCCTTTAAATCTTGCCATTTCGTACACACATAGAGATATATTCTGCTGACTGAATGCCTATTCACAACATTTGATATGAAATATTTTCAATGTTGTGTCTATGTTTTATGCATGCAGCGAAAGGGAAATATGTAGTTTTGTCTTGTAACATAATTATCTCTCAATGACATAACAATCTTTTTGCTCCAAGCTCTTTGAAACTGCACAGTACAAAAGATTAATTTCACTCATTCACCATTTTGGCAAAAAGTAAATATGGAGAAGGTAAGGATTAGATATCTTATGGTAAAAAATGCAATAATATAAAAACTTTGATGTTTTAATTTTTACCAACATTTGCCTACTTTTTCAATTAAATGTAAGTCTACTCTTCTACTTTAATCTTCACTGTGCTTTTGCTGTTTTAATGCAGTAAATGTCCCCGTTGCGGGATAATTAAAGTATTTCTGATTCAGATTTTTGAAGGATAGTTGCAGTAATGTCTGGCAATTCTTGAAATAATGAGTAATGCTAATGACATTTGATGACAGCAAGAGCCGTACAGTTTTTCTATAAATTGAAAGATGAAAGGGGTTTGTGTGTGGGGTCAAAGGTTAAGGAGAAGTCTAGGATTCTTACTTCTCAGGCTTGAGATCTCTGTAAACTATGCCCAAGCTGTGCAGGTGGTCGAGGGCCAGGGCCAGCTCTGCAAGGTAGAATTTCACATCTTCCTCTGTAAACATAACCTGATAAGAACTGGACAAATTTACTCTCTGAACTAAGAAGATGGGAAGAAATTCAGCAGCAAAAGAAGAAAAAAAAGACACAACTTCAACATTAAGCTTCAGTAACCGCAAAGAGAAAGCAACAGTATTATTATTGTCACAATATGAACATTTCAAAAAAGGTTACACAACTCAGCAAGCTGTTGATCTGACACTGCCAGCAGCTATCGCTTTGGTTCTGAGACATGCTTTCAACACAAGGTCTATCTGGAGAACAATCACACATTGTCTGAGCGTCCTGAAAGAATTTGAAAAAGAGCCGTGCCTCTAACTGACAAGGCACGGATGATCTAAAAACGGATAGAGATTCCAAGAAAAACGTGTTTCCATGAGGAATTAGAGTCTGAATTAGAGTAAAAAGCTATAAAAAAAAAACAGGAGACAAATGACTTGGCAGTGCCTTAGCTCTTACAAAATATATTAAAAATGTCTGCATACTAAATCTGCACCTGTTCCATTTGTAGCTGTCAGACTAACGATCCCTTAGGGCTTTATATGTATTTCAGATTTTTCACAAGCATTAGGCGTTTAGAAAAAACACTATTAAGGACATGCTGTTTTTTTCTTTTCACACAGTTAAAAACAACAGTTAAAGTGTAATAATAAGGCAACAAGACGTCAGCTTACCTCTTTGGATAAGCGAGTGAATACATCCCCTCCCCTGAGAAAGTCCAGTATTAAATACAGTTTCCCTTCTGTCTGAAAGGCTGCGAGACAAGGACAACAAGTCAATTACCTGAAAGCTAATTCAGGAGTTTTTCAACAGAAACACTCAGGGTGACGCAAGTAAACAATTTAACTTAGAATGGCAACAGATTGCCCACATAAAAAATGATAAGGAAGGTTTTTTTTTTTTTTTTTTTTTTTTTTTTTTGCAGGATTTGGGTAAAACTACTAAACCCAACCTAAGAGGAACCCATTTAAAATGTTAATCATGGGCCAATACACACATTATTTTACACTAATGGAAACAGGCCTGTGCTGACCTTTGTAGTTAATAATGTTTGTATGTGTATTGTGGCAATCTTGTCAATAAAAAACTGATAATATAGAACAAAAATTATAATATTAAATATATACATTTGTTTAACTTGATCAATTAAAAAATATTCCTATAAATTATGTAAGTATTTGTGATTTGAACATTATGACACACATAAACAGCTTAGCCCCACCTGAACTTGGACAGTTTCTCTTACCGTAGTGCAATTTCACTATGAAGGGATGGTTGACTTCGACTAAAATGTCTCTTTCCATCTTAGTGCGAACCCTGTCCCTGACTATAGAGAGAGAGACAGAGAGACAGAGAGACAGAGACAGAGAGAGAGACAGAGAGAGAGAGAGAGAGAGAGAGAGAGAGAGAGAGAGAGAGAGAGAGATTCAACACCGAGGACGGAACATGGTGTTTTGTGTGGACAGCAATTAAAAACAAAGTTGCATTACCTTTCAAAGATGCCTTTTTTAGAACTTTCATTGCATATAACTGACCCGCATCCGGACCAATGATCTTCCTGACAAGAAAAACCTGAGAGAACAGTTGACATTTTAGATGGATTGAACACCTACGCTTGCACCGTGGAAAGCTGTGTCTGCTTGTTCCTCACCTTGCCGAATGAGCCCTGGCCGAGGACTTTGAGCAGCTCAAACTGACACGGATCAGCTTTCTCACAGCCCTCTTTCACATGATGAGTGATGGGAATCTCCTCATACGTCCCTTCATCCTACACAAACAGCATCAGCATGAGACTCAACATCGTACATCACACGCACATACGTTTAATCCCATCACTACTTACACAGTGTGAGAAAGAGTCTCCCTCCTCCATGGGCTCGTCCATGATCTCATGTCCATTGACCTGCGGAAAAGACGAAAAAGATTTCATGAGCGTCGACAACAGAAGACACTTTCACAAAGCGTGTTCATCCTTGTTTTTCAGCTGAGCGGGAGTGCAGCTGCTGCACGCCCCCATGTATGACGGAAGATGCAACAGATGAAATCGATGAGTCAGATACAATAACAGTGCGCTTTCACTTTTCTATTTGTTGTCAAACAGTATGGAGTCCATACTTTAAGCCTGTCCAGCTGTCCAGCTCTCATCCTGTCCCCTTTAAAGCCTCTCATTATTAGCATTCTAGCTTAATCCCCAGCCAGGGTAAAAACAACATGTCTGACTCGCTCAGTCTGATGTTTTGTTAAGGCTGCAGTCAGAATTCAACCTCTTCAGGATCTAGGGTCTAGCTTTTTCATGGATGTGGCCACAAAGCTTTTCATTTATTTATTTAAAGACAGATAGACTTGCTTTGTTCCACTGAGTTACATTTAAGGAGCCAGTTGTATGCCCCTCTTTTGTTTGGTTAAAAAGCCACTCACTGTGATATTGTCAGCAAAGGAATGTGAGATATTTCAGCATCCTCACATAAATCAGACAATAAACTGACCGCCGTGACATTAACCAGGTCTGCGTATTTCAATTCTGTGCTGAAGCTCAGCCTGCGATGATGTATTCAGTTCAGTGTGTTTGTGTGTTGAATTCCATCAAGCCTCTGAAGAGGGGGGATGAGTCATAGCAGCTACGCAAGCCCACTCAGTGGGTGGAGCCACCGACATGTACATCCACAGAACCGAGGCCAGCAAAACACTTTGCAATATCTTAGCACTACAGGATGACATCATCATAAACAACCAAACAAATCGTTCGCAATTTCCACTTTAAAGTAAGACATAAAACAAAGAAAATGTGTCAAAATATAAGCCTCAGTACATCTTATGAAGTGTAACATCCAGCCACAGTCAGGACTGTGTCATAATTCACACATTTTCACTCCCACCTTTGCTGTGGCTCATCACTGGCTTGCAACAGAGTGCAGCCTACACTTGCAGCACAACCAGGCGAGTCTTTTTCAGCCAGTTGAAAAGATGTGTGACAGTCATATACAATTTAATCCAACAGTCACTGACACCGGCATGCAATACTTCACAGTACAAAAGCACACAAAGTTCATTAAACAACCCGCACAACCACAAGCCAAGTTTGAGTGGCTAATGTTTACTTATGTGGTTCTAAGGAAAGTAGATTAGAGTGGTTGCTTATTTGTAAGGAGCGACGAAAACATTAAGAATATTTGAGGCACACCAGTTGAAGAATTAGTAAATGGTGTCATGCCAGCTACATAAACTAATCTCATTCAAAAGATTATCAAAAATGCTGTGTCCGAAGTCTTTCAACCACCACTGAAGAAGCACAAGAAAAATAGACTAGGTCAGATGTGTATTTTGCAAAATAAATTTATTTTGTCTTTTTTTAAAGATAGTCACAGCAGTCATTCAGACTGTAGGTGTTAAAAAGACTGCAAATAATCCCAGAGATGGAGAGATTTAGGATCTCAGGTTGGTTTAGCTGCACATTATAGTGGGGCCCAGGCGAAAGCAAAACTGAGACTTTCCACAGTTATACAAAAATAAGATTCATATATAAAAGGTTATTAATGGTTTCACTAAAATGTATGGAAGTGAAACAATAGCTCATTATAAATACAAGGGTTGATATTCTATCAGGGTTTTTTTGTAGTTATTGAGTCAGTTAATGTTTATCACAACTTCACTTACACAATGCAGCTAAAACACTTCCGTATGTGTAGATTATACATTTATCAAACTATGAGTGAAAAAACGTAACTAACAAAAATATAGTTTAAACTAATAACAGCAGCGCTAATTCACTCGTGCTGCCGACAAGCCAGCCCTCACTTGTGAAGGCGTCTGACCAAATGTTACCCAGCTAACCTTAGTGTTAAACTTCATATTTATTTAACGTCGCTGACATATTCCACAGCGTAACTGCACATACAAAGACACTTTTTCTCGACTCTTTATTTACAATATGTTTGGGGTTGAATTAAAACTTGTCCCCAAGTTTCAAGCCTGCAAGCTGTCAGCTAGCAAGCTAACTACATGCTAATGCTAGGCTAAGCTAGCTATGAGGCAAACTCCTCTTGAGAAGTGTAAATAACAACAAAAGCGAGGAGGTTGTTTGTTGTTGGATTAAGATCCCGTCCTTTGTGCAGATAGTTAGCGGTTACGAATGCCCGGACGAGTGGCTTTCAAAAAAATAAACCCGGTACAGTGCAACAAACATAAACACATAACCAGCTGTTAGCATGCGCTAGCTTGTTAGCATGCATCACGGTGCGCTGCAGGTCGTGACGCAAATTTAAGCTCTACCCAAAAAGCTAACATAACCGGACAGAACAAACCAAAAACAATGTTTGGCAAATCAGTATGCAAAGCAATCTTTTTGCAACTCACCTCACTACAAACGCTGTTTTCGTCCATCTTGTGCCAGGATCCCTCTCTAAGTCTAAGGCATCGTAGTCTACCTAGACCCCCGCTCCACGTTGCATGTCTTCCCCTCTGTGGATGTCCGGTTGTTCTGCTTTGATGATCAGATCCAAAGCTGTGTGTCTGCAGACCACGATCAGGATGGGATCGGGGGGTCTGTGCGGGGAATAGTTGATGCTGATGACTGGACCATACGCTCGCCGACAGCACCGCTACCCTGCCATGGATGCGAATATGGCGGCTATCGTGGTACCTGGTCGTCCGTGAATGAGAGTTTATTGACGTATTTATGACGCAATTCAGTTAAGGATTTCCCCCCGTCCAAACCAAAGCAGCGGATATCGAGATAGACAGGAGGAAGAGAGGACGTGATGGTGGTGGTGGCGTGAGGGGGGCGACTTGATGCTGCATGACGCTGCATGACATGCTGTGACACACATGCATCCGGTTGAAGGATCTCTGCTATTGTATGGAGTTTAATGTATGGGTTGACGCAGGGTAAAATTAGGGAGCAAAAGAGAAACCCTGTGGAGAGACATACATCTGAAAGCCTCTGATCTTAAAGGGTGTAAATTGAATGTTTTAAAGCCACTGTTTCATAAGCCTGTCCATCCCTAGTCCAAGTGGAAATAAGAGGCTTAGAGCTCATCCACTTTCCCTTCTTTCTCTCTCCCACCCACAGGCACAAAGGCTTTGTGTGATGGGGTAACATAATAAACAACACATGACTACATTAGTCTAAAGTCACAACTTAGAATTTAAAACCCAATTGGCAACTTCTACCTATTGCTTAAAGGTCCCCTATTATACTGTGTTTCATCAATATAATAGATCTCAGATACAAAACATGTCTCTGAAGTTTTTGGCTTGAAATATCCAACAGCTCATGCATTGCAGCATCCCATAAACCCCTCTGTTTGAGCCCTGTTTCAAAAGTGCTGATTCTCTGTCTTGTACTTTAGATGAAAATAAGGAGCCACTCCTAACACCCCTAACACCCCTCTGAGAGATATTTGGTTAACAAGAACACAATGGTGCTTTATGAGGAGATTCAGGTGATAAGGAGGGGGGGGGTTACCTTGGTTGGTTATTGGCTAATGGTTACACAAGCCAAAAAATCGTTATGACATCATAAATTGGCCGAAATCTGATCAGCTCATTTTCAGACAGGTTTTTATATAAATGGATGAGGACAAAAAGTGAGCGAATCTTTTTTTTCCTGAAACGGTCATAATATCTTTACACAGAGGGGACACATGCATATGTATAAAAGACAGGAAAAAGTTGATTTAGCATAATAGGTGACCTTTAAAATAGCATAGACAGTTAATCAAAGACATAATCATATAATTAAACTGAACTTTAATCATGTTTGAATTTTATGATTGGGATCCAGAAAAATTGGAGAGCATTTCCATTGTTTGAACAGTTAATTCTATATCTATATTTAGTTAACTTAAAATTCCCTCCCGCAACATTTATCAACAAAATAATTCAGCCTCTAATGTTTGCGAAAGTTATTCTTGTGTTTTTCTACATCACAACATATTTAAAGTGACACTTCTCTCACTGAAACACGTAGACACACAGGTAAATTAGAGGTTTTTTATTGTTCTCCCTGGACTGACCCAGGGCAAGGCGAATGATATGCGTTAAAAAAGGCATTTGTTAGCCCAACAGTCGTAGTGAAGCGTCGATCCACAGGCACTGTGCGCGGAGCATGAATTCATGAGTGTTTTTGTAGATGTGAGACCGTGTGGGCCATAAAGTCTGAAACCAGCTTCTACATGGAGTGTGGAAACATCTGAATGAGTCTATGTGAGCTGATGTACATGACATAGTCAATTTTGTTATGTGACCGCCTCCGGCAGTCGCTCCTCTGATGCAGAGGGCTCAGTAACTTTAGTCGTTGTATAGTCTTTTTTTATGGTGAACGATGGGACTTCTTCTTTCGCTATCTCGGGTGGAGGCTCCACTCTGCCCGCGCCGGTCATCGGGGAGCCGTTGTGGTTTGAGGATGCGTCCGCTGATTCAGCAGCAGGCTGCGCTCCTCTATCAACCATCATGTCCCAGTCCTGTTCTGAAGGCTGAGGTAGACTGGCCATGAGTTCCTAAACAAACAAACCAGAGCAGACTTTAGATTAATCATGTATAAAAACGGTGGGATTTACTTCAAGTTCAAATGAATAATGTCTGTGTGAACGTACCTGCTGTCTCTCTAGGTCATTGTTCCTCACAGCGCTGAGTAGGCTCTTAGTGAAGCTTGCAAGATCGTCATATCTTTGTTTTTGGTTCTCTAGCTCAATCTCTAAGAACTGCACTTCCTCATGCTGAAACAGGGGAAGCAAAGCAAAGGCAAGAAGTGTTAATTCAGTTTTTTGCCCTTAATCTGGGACATGACAATATTTCTACTTGTCACATAAAAATGAATATCAGACTAACATTCCTTATTTATTGTGGCTGTGCCAACACTGATTCAAGTTAAAAACGCCGTCACCACATAGTTGTTTTGTAGTTATCCAAATCTTTTTTAGTGTTCAAAATGAGCTGCTCTTCCAAAGAGATGTGGCCTTTTCTCTTTGGCATGCATCTCTACCCAACACCTGCAAAACTGGTTAGTTGGTTGGGGTAAAATGCAAAGAGCTGGCTTTTTTTGGAAACATTCTGAATGCACTGTATACATGCCAAAATATTACTCCTTAAACCCAAAAATGATCATACATGACTTAATCAAAAATGCTGAATATCCAAATGAAATATGCTGTGTAAGAAAGGTTTGCAGCCACTGGTTTATGTTTGGTTCTAGGGCTGCACGATATATCGTGTCGTGACGATAATCGCGTTATGCGCATGCATATTGTTATTGACATCACAGGGCGTGCGATTATTATTATTAAAAAAATAAATACTTTATTTTTTATTTTTTAGGACGTGCGATATTAAAGGTGGGGTATTTAATTTTGGAGAAACCAGCTCGAGTGCACTAGAATTTGAAAGTACACAACCGGAAAAAATCTGCCTTTTCCTTCAGACTTCCTTACAGAGCCCCTCCTCCAACACACACGAACGCGCACATGACCAATGAGGGCACAAGATAAGTTTGTGCACAGATGGAAGGCTGGCAGGCAGGTAGGCCATCCAGTTATTTTAGCCGGGCCGGCTCAAACGATTGGTCGTGCTTTTTACACCGCTACGGCTTCCACAGATGACATTTTTGTATGTATTTATTGTCAAAGCATTTCATATATTCATTGCTATCGGGATGTTAAGAGCATTCCATGGAATATAACAAAAAGTGTTTCTGAAATAAATTACATACCCCACCTTTAAATAGGCAAATGAACTCAAACACGTCATGTTACAATCACAACCATTCTTGATCAGATCACAGCAGGATAACCGAGCTAGCTCAGCTTGTTGCTCTGATAACTTAAGATCCAGAAGTCCGTGACTAAAATCCTTCACCCGCTTAAATATTGTTAAAAAAATACCAATTGTATAGCATTAAAGTTCAAGAAAGAATGGTTTGCGGACAAAAAACTGTCTTTTCTTCAATTCCTGTATTTTTCATATCGCAATATGTATCGCAGGGGAAGAAAATATCGCGCAATGTCTCAGTCTCTTTTCCAAATACTACATAGCAGCCTTTATTTGGTTCATACGGTCCCGGCGCCCGGGTGGGGCGGGGCAAAGTGGCTTGAGCCCTGCCCTTTTTCATTCCTCCAGAGAAAGTGCCTTTTATGGGCGTATCTTTTTCATCTCCAATCACGATATGGGTATCTAGCGCTACTGCTGTTGGCCGCTTTCCCTTTCCCAAAACTCTAATTGAGTTATGCTCCCCTAATCAGGTCAGGAGATTTGACTAGTGAAGTTCCGATGCTCTCTCTCTTATCGCGCCTCCCTCTCCAGTCTCCCCAGGCACAGCGGTACGGCATCGTAGTCACTCATCAGGACAGGGCAGCAGCAACATCCACCTCCTAGGCTGTCACTTCAGACGGAGGTAGCGCACTCCCACTTACTGACCCATGTTGCCGGCTTTCTTGGCTTGTCTGAAGGCTGAGTGCGTGATGAAAAAATGATAAACTGCCGTGCCTCGAGTTTCAACTAATTAGCCAAAAACAAAACATATAGTTAACTAAGGTAGCTACTAGCAAATGGATAGCTAGCTCCAAGGTTTTACCTAAGGCAATTTATCATGGCATCAGACTAATGTAGCCTACTTTGTACTTAAGGGGAGCACTACAGGTGATACAGTCCAAATGTGTATCCTAAATAACGCATCACCATCGCCACTTTGTATGCAAATTAGGTGTTAACTAGTCACTATAATTAAAGTGGTCTACTATCTTATCTCTTATCTTATCTATTAAAAATGCGCTAATTTGCATGCAGTTACCCAAGGCCATGCAGGGGAAAAGGATAAAACTAAAACCAAACCAAAAACATACTCACCTCACAACTTCCCAGATAGTTACTTACGTCAAGTCAGATTTTTACCCTCGGACATGTGTGTTTTAAATGCAGATTAGCTTTAAATAGAGCGTATGAATGAATCCACACATGGTAGTAAAGCAAAACCATTTTATGTGTTTTTTGGAACTTTTCTTTCCATTGAGAGTGGAAAGGACATGGAAGCCGCAAATAGCACAAAATAACAAATGTACCAAGTACATTTGAGAAAACGTATTTTGCCTGAAATGTCCTTAGTAGTCAACTTCATATTTTGATGTTTCGCCCTGCTCAATGTATAATACTATTAATTCGCTCTAGTTTCGCTTCTCTGGTTGTGCATCTCCGCTAGCACTCACTACCTAACATGTATGACCATTGTCGGGGGTGTGTCAGCTGATTATTTGTAGAATTCTGTTGAGTATTAACAATGCGTGAGAGGTGTCAGGTTTTAAATATTATTGGCTCTAAGTAACACGTCTCGAGAATGGATGGCAAAGCGAGACCTATTTTTTGAAGGGATGAATATACTCGGAGCTGCCTCCTCTTCCGACTTGAGCTCCCGCCCAAAAGTCGTGGACGCCTGAATCTGCAAAGTGTGTTCTTCACCTTGAATTCCAACAGGCCCTGCATTTTGCTCCAGGTCTGAAGCCACTAATCACCTCCATCTTCATCGTCATATTCGGTCTTCATCCATACTCGATCTTCTGTAGAAAAGCAACAAAGATTAATCAAATAATCGTGACATATTGTATTTTTCTGTAATAAACTGATTATGCGACCATTTGTTTATCCCTCAAGTAACATACAACCTTCCCTCATGTTGAGAGGAACACCAGAAACTAGACACAAACGCCACCGACGCAATATACTATTGTTTTCGCGGAATTGCTGCTCTCGTTTTGTCTAGTCCCTGCAGATGCAGTGCCTGTTGGGGTGGCTCAA